CAAGAACAGGGTCTCAAATATCACTTGTAAAGCTTTTGCATTCCCCAGAGAGAAAAATAGTGAACTTGAGTCTATACCTGAATAATATGCTGTGACACATATGAACCTAACTTTTTCTTTTTCAAGTGATCATATTCTTTTCCTCTTTTAAAACTGGTTTTAAGGATGTTTCTTTCAGTTTTGATGTTAAAGAACTTGAGTTGATGTGTAAGGAGCCTTCCTTGAGGCATATGTCTAAGAGTTGCTTTCTGTTCTGTTTATATATGAAACATGTTTTTCAGCTCAAGAAATTTACCTCTAACTTTTCTTTAATTACAACTTTGTGCATTGTTTTTTAGTTGATTGCTAGCCCCTATTTGTAAGTTGAATATCCTCCATCTGATTCTAGGTCTGATAGTTTCATTTGAATAACTATTCAGTTTTATTTAAAAATTTCAATTTTAGTGTAATTTTTGACTCTACAGTTTCTTTCCTATTCTTTGCTGCCTCCATTGATGTTTGCATTTCTCAGTAGCAGGTACTAGTTAACCAAAGTCTTTCAGTATCATTTCTTTTATTCCCTTTGAAGGGTTTTTATCCTTAACTGTCAATATGCTTTAAGATAACTAGCACTTTAGTCTTCTTCTCCATCTGTAAAATATTTTGAGGGAGTTTGTTTTTTCATATTACTTTGTTCCAAGACAACCAGAAATATGTTCAGTTTGGGGATTCGTGCTCTTTATGGGGTTATGCCAAATTGGTGTATGCCTGGAGGAGGGTGAGCTAAAAGGGATCCTGTCGTAGGAAGAACTGTGGAAAGAACTGAGCCTGTTTATTCTGGGGCAGAGGAGACGTGAAGACAAACAGGATTCCTATGTTCAAATCCAGAAAGGCTGATGTGTAGAAGAGAGAGCTAGTTTATTCTGGTTGGTGGTAGTGGTATGTGTAGGTTGGGCAGGGGGCAGGTGGGGAGGTCAGAGGTGGCACTGCTGTGAAGGACTGAAGCTGCAGCGGGGGGAATTCAGCTCTATGGAAAGAAACTTTCTCGCAATAAAACACGTCCCACAGTGAATGACAGGATAGTTAGAGGCCAGGTGGCTCCCTAGCAGTGGGACTGTAGAAAAGACTCAAATGCTTGGAGGTTATCTGGGCTTTTATTTTCTTCCATTAGCCCAGCAAATCAGAGGCTAATATTAAAACCATTAGCAGGTCATTTTCTTGACTTTAAGCTTTCCTGCTCAGACCTTGCTGAGTCAGGGAGCACTCTTAATGGCTTGGTTGATGTGGTTATTTGTTTGGTCTATGGGGATCCCTGGATGAAGGTGTGTGCCTTACCCACAGTCCAGATATATAAGGCAAATTAGTTCTTTTAATTAGAGCCATATACGTTTGTACAAATCAATTAGCTAAATTGCATTTGGCAGCAATTTCATAATAACTGCCCAGAAGTAACCACCACAGTTTGATGACCTTCAAACAGAACAGAAAGGCTGCCAGTCTTCAGTCGTTAGGGGTGTGGCTGAGATCTCTGAAGACCCTGCACTTATTTGGAGAGTGAAGCAATGTAGAGGTCACAGATACTGTCTCTTCTGTGCTGTGGTTACTTCAGGGTTTCCAGGGGATGTGGGTCTTCAAATTTCAAGACAGAGCACAACAAATATTACCTCACCTGGTTCCGAGACCTAGGAGAGACCTCAAGTTGCATGGATGGAAGGACCCTCAGAAGTCACCGGGTCCCTGTATTCCATTGTAATGTCCCTCCTATATCCCTGCAGTTAGTTATTTGGCCTCTGCTTGACTACCATGGTGACCAAGATCATGCTAATTCTTGAGACCACTCATTTCAGCCTTAGATCACTAGGAACAGCAGAGAGTTCTAGCCTTAGCCTGAGCTGGAGTCTCCCGCTCTGTGGCATATCCCCATTAATCCTGGCTCTGTACCTCAGAATCATGTGGAATGTCTTTCCATATGGTGGGCTTTTGGCAGTTTGTGAGCCATGATCATATAAGCTACCTCCAAATCTTTGCTGAATAAACATTCTCTGATTTTTCAGTAGATCTTCATATGACTTGGTTTTAAGTCTCCTCACTATCCTCGACTCCTGTAGGAAGATGCCGAAAGAGTGATGCTCAGACATAAAACATACAAAGTTAACAGCCATGTCCTAGAGCTGCCAGCTGACTCACTCCCGTGAAGGGCCTGACTGAGGCAATTGATATTTGAAGACAATATCCTGTGGGCTTTGCTGGATGTTTATTCTTCTGTCCTTTGTGATTAGTCTCTGTGTTGTCAGGACACTACTACCTACATTCTTTACCGCCCTTAGTAAGTCTCACAGAAATATCACATGATTTTGTGTCCTTGGCAAAGGAACATTAAACAATCCTTATTATAAAAGAGCTTTTACAATAGCAAGAAGGCAAACATTCCAGTAGAAAAATAAGGAAAAACCAGAAATAGGAAAGTTAAAAAAAAAAGAAAGAAATATGAATGGTCATAGCTCATGAAAAATGTTCAGATGTATTAGAATAAAAACTATAATGAGCTCTGAGCTGGAAAGATGTCCATGATATGTCCACAGGTTAAAAAAAAAATGCAAGGTGCAGACCACTGAGTAGAGCCTTATTCTATTTTTGTGGAATACATATTTTAATATATGTAATATAGGTCTCTCTAAATTTAGGGCAAATTTAGTGTGAATATCCATCAAACTGTTAACAGTGGTAACCTCTGAGGGACCAGATTGGCTGCTCGAAGTAGGATACTTAATTTGTATAGTTCTTAATGTGATGGAATTATGTGCAATGTTTACTCCTGTTTTCTATACTTTTCAAAATATATATATTTAAACCAATAATAACATGCTACTTTCCATTCCATTAGCAAATATTTTTTGAATGATAATATCCAGTGTTTATGAGACTGTGGATTATATTTATTTTTGTTTTCTCTGTGTTTTCAAAATATTAAGTTTAAGTCATTAATTAGACAATAATAACTCCTTGGGTTTTCTTCCATCTTACTAGCAAATACTTTTAAAAATGATAATATTCAGTGTTTACAAAGGTCTGTCCTAGCAGTAGTGAAAATTGATACCTTCTTGGGAGCAATTTGGCAATATACTCCCAAATTCTTAAAAATGAACTATGCTTAAGTCCAGTAATTTCACTTCTCAGAACTTATCCCAAGAAAATACCTGGGAAGTAGCCATTTACCATGAATAAAGATGTTCGCTCTAAAGCTTTTATAATAATGAAAAATTGGAAGCAGCACAAGTGTCCAATGATAGATTTGTTGACTAAATTGATAGGGCCAAAGAAAACACTATATAGCAATTTAAAATGATGATGTAAATGCTTAAATATTTATATGAAAACGGGTTCATGAAATACTAAGTAGGAAAAGTATACTATCTCACTTTAATAAAAATATTTAGAATGCATAAGTATAGAAAAAGAGTGGAAAATTAGCAGTTGATAACTTTAGGAGGCAGGATTATCATCTAAAGTTATTCCAAAATAAAAAGTTTATATTTAAAATAAGACAAAAAATTATCAGGATGAGCTACATCTTATCGATTTGTAAGAATTCACCTGTGAACCTATCTGTGCCTGGGGCTCTTTTGGGGGTATAGCTCTTTCACAACTTTCTCTTCTATGGTACTTGTCTTTTTGGATTTTCTCTCTTTTCTAGGTTCATCTTATATCATTTATATTTACTTGAAAACCGTCTGTGTCATCAAGGTTTTCAAATGTAAATTTCTTTTTTATTGTCTCTGTGTCCATGGTTCTTTCCCAGGGTCATATCTTTTTTTGTGCGCTTATTTATTTGGTTGTGAAAATTAATTTGGTGAGTTGAGACCAGTAATTTAAGAAGGAAAATAGTTTAGAATAGAAAAATATAAATATATGTTGTTTTATGAAACTTAAATCTCAAGCACGTATATTGTTTTTCTTGGTAATCTGACAATATGTATCAAAGCACAAATGCATATAACTTCGGACCTAGCAATTTAATATTTGGGAACTTGTCCAGATGTGTAATTGTATACATGCAGAAATGATGTATGTATAACATAACTTGCAGTATTCTTTATAATAGCAAAAGGCTGGCAATAGCCCAAATGTTTATCATGCGAGAACTACTTTTTAAATTGCTGTACATTCATACAATGTAATACTCAGTAGTCATCCAAAAGAATGAAGATACATTCTATGAATTGTTGTGGAAAGATATCCAGGATATATATTCTAAGGAGAAGAAAGCATGGTGCAGAACAATGCGTACTGTCCTTTGTGTTAGGAAGAGGACCTGTCAAATTTGTGTTTACATTTGTTTGTATAGGCAGAAAGAAACTCTGGAAAGACAGAGAAGAGTGGTGATGATGTATGGGTGTGGAAACTGGGTGGATGGGCACAGGGAAGGTTGAGGCAGACTTTTTACTGTGTATCTTTTTAAAATTATTATTATGGTAAGACCACAGTTAGCATGAGATCTACCCTCTTAAATTTTTAAGAACACAATACATTTTTACAGACTAGGATTTAAATTATACAAACGAATTGCCTATTCAAAAGTTAAATGCAAAATGCTGAGCAAAAGAAGCAGCACTCAAGAGAATAGGCACAGTGTGACTCGAAAGCTTCCATAAGCTTGCCGTTCCTGACGCAGGCGAATGCACACGTATTTGGGGGTCGGGGCAGTGTCACGTAGTAAGGTATGTCTCTTCCAATGGGTCACAGTCACAGTCTGAGAAACCTTATCTATTCTCTTTCCTAATCCTCGTGTTTAAGATACAAAGCCCGTCTGTTTACCGCAAGACTGTGGACACCCCACGGCAGAGAACTGCTAAACTTCTTCATTCCATGGACGTTGAGCACCTGTTTATGTTAATTTCAGGTAGACGTAGAGCCCTAGTTATTTGATCAGCTGTCTTTAAATGGGCAAATACAGGGGACTTGCCAGAATCCTCCTCAAAATATTTTGGTTAGCTTCTTAAGAAAATTCTACTTCCTTTTAGGTAAATGGAAGAGCTGGAGGCCAGTTTATTCCAGACACGAAAAGCACACCGAATAGAACAAATGGTGGCAAGATGGCTTCGGCGTTCCCGGGACAGCTCAGCCAGGTGAGTCTTCTGGGCTAGCAGACATTTCTGTCTGCAGAGATTTGGTGTTCCTATGGGCTAGGTTTTGCCGGCACCTGGGGATCCCTGTCACTGGCGCGCTTTGTTCTTACATCATATGGTGGGAAAATATAAACAGGTCAGTGAATTGCTGGAGTGCCTTTCTCTCTGTCCCGCTTCCAGTTCTTATCTCTGTGTCCCTCAGTGTGTGCCCACATACACACAGAAATATACCTAACTCATACACACATTTACAGAGACAAATACACACACAGACTTCTACATACAAACATGTTTTTACATATTTGCACGCACATGCTTGTGCACTCTGGAACTTAACATTCATGTTCATATACACACTCTTGAACATACACATTCACTCTGTCTCTCCCTTGTCTCAGTACAAGCTCTGAGGGCTGGGCAATCTGCTGTTTATACTCTTTCCCTGTCTTTGTTTGCAGCAGCTGCTCCTTCCTTGCAGTCCCTATTTCATTCTAATCAAAATAAAATGAAATCAAATACAGATCTGATTTGACTGCTACAAGAGAACTTAAAATATGTTCTGTTTTGAAGTGTTCATTTTCCGTCTCAGATTTCCCATCTGGCCCTGCCACAGAGATGAAATATCACAGGTCAGGTGTTTCTGAGACACAGTTCTTCCAAAGGAACTGGAAACAGCTCTTCTGCTGCTGAGCCATAAACCTTGCTCAGGGCTGTACTGCCGTGTGGCCAAGTGCTCTGATCCTCTCATGCTGTGGTGAGATAAGGCTGGTAGGATAAACCCATTTTACAGATGGACCATCCGAAGCTCAGAAAGTGACTTGTTGAGGACCATCCCCACCCCTGTGCGGAAACCTTTGTTGGGTCCCAATTTCTTATAGGATAAGTTTATTTTTGGTTTGACATGCAAAGCTCTCTATGATCAACCCACATTTCTTTATAGCTATGTGTCTTACTACACTGCTTCATTCACATCATACTCCAGCTAAAATGAATGACTCATTGTTGCTCTGCTACAAGTACCCCACCCCTGCTTCCCCTTCCGCTCCTGAGACCTGGGCTTCTGTGCCAGATTCTCTCCTCCCACCTCCATGTGTCCAGAACTCACCCACAGTGCAAGGACTGGCTGTAGTGCCGGAACTTCCATGAAGTGTTCTCCAGCGCAGAGTCAGAACTAATTTCTCCTGTGGGGCCCTGTAATGTTTGATTTATAGCTTTGGTAGTGTGCTCCTCCCAATGTGTTGTTCAATTTGTATGAGCATATCCCCTTTCTTTCTTCCAGACAGTGAGCTCTATGAGGGTAGGGAAAATATTGGCCCATCTCTGTAACCCAGAGGTGACTGAGTTCCAGGAGACTGCAAGTGATCAAGTAGTGCTTGGTGAATGAATGACTGCTAGGCACATTGTTTCCTAAAGTGAGCTCTGCAAAACCTAGTCCTTCGTGCTGCTGCTCCAGTAGAGAAAGTTCCATAACCAGGTATGCTTGGAAGGTGATGCAGCCTGTCACACTCCTATACACCCGCACCTTGGTGACTCATGGTGCATTTTAGCACATGAAAGGCTCTGAGAATTCCTACAACTTCAACTGTAACTTTAACTTGTGTTACATTAATTTGATATTGCCTAATATTTGACCTTGGAACTCTCTAATATCCTGTTTCTCTCAGAGTGTAAATAAAAGGTGACATTGACCTCTAGAAAGTTTTCTTTACACCTCCTTTTTGAGATACCTCTTTTGAGTATATTTCACATACCATAAAGTTTACCCTCTTAAGGTATACAGTTCAGAGATTTTTAGTATATATTTAATGCATATATGGAACTCTGCAAAAATTATCACAATCTAATTTCAGAATATTTTTAATACCCCAAAAAGAAACTCCAAACCTATTAGCAGTCACTCCCCATTTGCACTTTGCTTGCCCAGCTCCAGGCAACCACTCAAATACATTCTCTCTCTGTAGATTTGCCTATTCTGGATGTTTCACATAAAAAGAATCATACAGTATGTGGTATTTTGTAGCTGCTTCTTTCACTTAGCATTAGGTGTACATGGTTCATCCATGTTAAAGCACGTATCAGTATTTCATTCCTTTTTTTAATGAATAATATTTCTTTATGGAATATTTTCTTTGTCCATTCATCTGTTAACACACACTTGGGTTGTTTCCACTTTGGGGCTATTATGAACAGTGCTGCTATAAACATTTGTGTGCAAGTTTTTGTTTGAACATGTTTTTATTTCTCTTGGATATATACTTAGGAATGAAATAAGTGGGTCCCATGGGAACCTCTCTGTCTGTCCCTAGGGAGCAGTGCTATGGTCTCTCACTCTCTGTTCCAACCAATTCCCTACCCTGAAGCCATAGTGCACTTTTCAAAATAAACACTATTCCTGTCCCACACACTTGGCCCTGGCTCCACCACACTCTAAACCAGTCAGAGGTTCTCCTGCCGTGGCCCACAAGCCCCTCTATGATCTGGTCTCTGCCTGACTTCCCCACTTCATCCTGTTCCTCCTGCTTCCTTGGCACAGTGGGTCCCTGTTTGTTTCCTTCAGAGAACTTACCTTCTCATTACACTCCATGGTAATACATCCATTTATTTACTTGTTCGTTGTCTGTCTCCCCCACCTGTTTGTAATAGGACTTCCCTCTTCCCAGCCCTCATGCCACATATGAGACCACGGAACATGACTGTCGTACTTTACAAAGTTTTTCAGCTCTGAAAGGGTGCATAGTGTGAAGTGTGTGTTCAATAAATTTTTATTAAGGACTTTTATAGTAAGAGGCTATATTGTTTATTGAACTATATTTAAATTTTACATCTTTCATTCTTCCAAAAGGAATTTTGATGGCTTCCAGTTTTAAATCATGTAGAGAGGTTTAAATAAAGGCTAGACATGCTAGAAGCAGATTGTGAACCAATGAGACATGGGATTTAGCATTTGAGTACTATCATTAGCTCTGAGCTTCCCAGTAGCTAGGGCAAGAAATGAAAGAATTACACTGAAATATTTTCTGTAGTCCAGAAAAAGGACACATAGAAGTTGGTCTGCAGTCATATAATTATACATGCATATAGTGATCCTGTTATTTTTCCATACTTTGAAAAACTTCTAATCATTTCAGCCAGTCATACTTACTTTACTTGTAATTGCCATTTTTTTCCCATTAAATATAAATTTTATCTCTTACCCTAACTGAATTGTCTAGGAGCAAATTAGTCAAAAATAACTATTTCTATTTCCAAACAATACTATACAAATTGATAACTTTTATGAAACTGGGAAGAGCTTCATAGAAAAAAAGTGATATAGTTGAGTGGTATTCTGTTGGCAATTGTTTTGATTGATTGCTTCTAAGCTTAGAAGATCCTCATTCAGTAATTAATTAAATTTATTTTCTGTTCCACTTAACAGTTTAAAAATATTTTATATTTAGTTCCTTAACTTGGAGTTTATTTTAGCATAGGCTATGACATGAAAATCTAACTTGAGTTTTTCCAAAATAGCATAAATAGTTGTTTGCATCACCATTAACTGTGGGTGTTCTTTCCTTCCTTCATTAGAGCTTTATAATGTTAGAACTTCATAATGCATCTTAAAACTGGTATTTTTCTGGGGAAGAGTGTCAACTTTCAAAGTTGCTTTGATTTCTTAAATTTTAAATTAGTTTTCAGTGGTTACTTGTTTTTATAATCATTAGTCAAATTCAGATTGTGCCACTCAGTTTGAATGAATGTGTATGACTGGGAAGGTGCAAACTTAGTGATACCTATGATTGTGGGAGTGCAAAATCACTCAGAGATGATGACTATGACTGTTCTCTCACTACTGAATTTCACATTCCAATATAAAAATAACATTGACAGTATTACTGCTGATCCTCCAGATGGTCTCTGTGACACGTTTTGAATTTCTGTACAAATAATGCAATACAAACTACTTAATAAAAGCTGAAACATAGTGACATTACATCATAAGCTAATTTTAACCATTTTGCTTGAACGAAATTTCTTTGTCTCAACAGCTTTGTATAACTATAGAAGTAATAAAGTGAGAAAGACTTAGACTATAGTATACTTTTCCACTTAATTATACCAATATTTTTCTCTCCTACTAAAGTTTCATGTAGTTAAAAAAAAGTGCTGTATAGTTGAATGGTATTCTATTGGCAATTGTTTTGATTGCTTCTAAGCTTAGAAGATCCTCATTCAGTAATTAATTAATTTTCTGTTCAACTTAACAGTTTAAAAATATTTTATATTTAGTTCCCTAACTTGGAGTTTATTTTAGCATAGTCTATGAGATGAAAATCTAACTTGAGTTTTTCCAAAATAGTATAAATAGTTGTTTGCATCACCATTAACTGTGGGTACTCTTTCCTTCCTTCAGTGATATATGACCCCTCTTTTACCATATATGAGATTCCTGTGTCTGTGAGTAGGAAATAGGATTGCTTTCTAGGCTAACTATTCTGTTCTATTGATCTGCCTGTTTTCACACACCTATATTAAATTTTCAAAGTTTTTGCCGTACCTGCTATTCCTCCATATGAACTGTAGAATAATTTTATTGTATTATCAAAACAATTCAACATAATATTTACTGAATTCTCTTATGCTTAATCTAGAAATGCTAGTTTTTATAGAGCAAGATTTAAAGAAACAAAGAGCTTCATGCAAATTGGTGCCTTCTTGATGCTTGGTTTGATCCTCAGGGCTTAAAAAGGTTTCTTTCAGTTTGTCTTGAATCTTAATACTAGCAATCACACATGCACATACACACACACATGCACATGCACACACATATGCACCATGGCATCTTAGTGTTAGAAACCCTTCCTGTTGGCTCTACATGCTTATTAAATTTACTTATTTGTTGCAACTATATAACCTATTTACTAATTATAAAGAAGGCCTTATTTGACCTTTGACCAATATTCCTAATGACATAGAAAGACCATCTCAAGTACCAATTTTCTATTGCTTCTCAGGCAAAG